GCAACTTTTAAACTTCTGGCTCAGTTTCCATCCACTTTTTGGATTACATCCTTCGAATCTGCTGGATTCGTTTTTCTATCTGGGAAAGCCTCATTGGTTTCTACATCTGCTACTATCCTATTACTACGATCCTGGCATGTTTATTTTCTGTTGGAGCTCGAATTTCGTGGAAAAAGTTGTGTTGAATGAGAGCATGGCGGCGAAGATGGCATCTCGTGTCTCCTACCTTGTATATTATTATTATTATATAGAGTGAATTTGAACAAATTACTACAAATTATCACGAAACTTCGTTGGAGCAATAAGGACAACAACAACTAACTGCAGAGTAAGTTTCATTGATCTTTATTTACTATTTCCTAGAAATTTTAGGATGGAATTTGTACCCCATACAAACACTGTAATTTTACTGGAACCGTACTGTGGTACTATCACAGAGCCTGGGTTACCTGTGGTCTGACATTCTTCTACGTATAAAATTGTCAAAGTTATAAAGCTTTTTAAAAAAATTGCCTCAAAGGATTCTGACATAATTTTTGTAATAATTTTTAATTGTAGCTTTCTCTAAGTGCCAACGAAAGAAAAAGAATTTGCCTACATCACCGATTTTAGTTTCAATGTTTATAAAACGAGCCTCGCCTGCTGAGGCGAGAACTAGTTTCCACTACAAGCACTCCTCGTTCCTACATTTCTGCCATGCTCTTGGCCTTAAAATTGCTCCTATTCTTCTGCTTAGACATTTGGAACCTTAAAATTGTCGAGTTTCAAACAGCGAAAGGGAAATAACATTAATTTTATAGGTTAGCGCGAACTTGAAATAGCGAGTTGTAGTTCGTACAACTACAGTAGTGTGGCAGAGAACAATGGCCGAAATTTGAAGGTTTGTTTACAACAAAGGTCATCAAAAGTCACGTGAAACTACACGTGAAATCTAACGCCACTAAAATCCCCCTGGAATCTACGCCTTACACTACGCTTTTCACAGCACGATCGAGAATTTTTCTGCCTGCTGCAATACTTCATTTCGCGTGGCATTAAGCTGGCCGCTTCGCAAGCCGACCGTCTTCGCTCGGCTTGCTCGTTGGCAATAATTTACTTTTATAATTAAGGGAGTAAAAACTTCTGAAAGCTCTTAGGTGACAAAAAAAAAAAAGATAAAGATAAAAAAAGCACATCGGGTGCATTTCATAACCTGTGGGCTAAATCTAAAATATGGAACACTCGTAAAATCTAGATATTATGTACAACCAATGAACTACATTAAAACTGTTAAGGAAAAAGTTCAAGTTCCTTTGCGACTTGTTAAAAAAAATACAGAAAAATAAGTCAGAAAATTGCCTAAAACGTATCAAAAACAACAACTAAAAGTTACAGAAAATGTGTTGAAAATTGCCTAAAGGTACTCTATAAAATCTCTGAAAATTGCTAAAATTAAAATTGGATAACGCCTGTAAGGTAATCATAACTTTCAAGTCTCTTAAAAACATAGCTCAAAGCTATGTAAGGATTTTAAATTATCTTGCAGTGTTCAAAGAGTGTGACAGAACACTTTTCTGCATTTTTCTTAGTGTCTTCCTTCCTGGCCTTTCTCTATCTGATCAGTGTCTTTATACTCTTAGCCGTGTTCATAGATGCACCTCCCAATACATCAACAATGATATTATTACCCCTGGGTCACTTCTGCATCTTGAGCTCAAAACCGACGAAGTGGCACATATCTCATGGTCTTCTCTGTTTTCCATCCAAGGGCAGCTCATTCCTAGTAGTGTGACTTTCTTATCTTCCTTATTAATTATTCTGACATCTATTGTGTTTACTGTGACTTCAGTATTCCTTAAATAAACTAGCACATCCCAATAAGCTTTAGCTCTCTGGTTTTAGTCTTCCGGTTTTGGCTCGGTAGGAGAAAACCAAGGGGGAATATTATCATTTTTTTTTTCAGCAACTCAAAGAGAATTGAGCCGAGCGATGTATTTGGTCTGCGCCAGCGCCAAGCAGCCAGCCAGCACGTGCGGCGTGGACTCTTCAGCATGTGACATCAGGTAACGGATTCAATCCTTCTTCTCATGGTGATAAACTTTCGTTGAGAGGAGCTGCTGGTACAATTCCTGTGCACCCGCGATGGTACTAGACGGCTGACTGATCTCCAAGCTGCTGCTAGTCACCGTCCAATTCCTTGTCATTCCACCTCGTTGCCACTAGCAGTTTCGTTGCCATTTTCACTTTTAACTTCTTCCATTCACTTTTTCTTTAATTTTTCCTTGGCACATCTCCCAATTAACGCTTCATTCACCTCATCTGTTTTAGCAACGGGATTTGGGTTGAAGTTCCAAACCCAGTTCCTGGGCATATTTCTTGGCATCTTTAATTAACGCTTGTCGACCACTTTCCTCAGCGTTCTCTTCATACTTTCTAACCACCTGCATTACGGGGTCTGGTTAGTGTACAGCTTGACCGCCGCTTTGATCTTAGTCAATATATATTTATTGAATTTTGTATGTGCAGTTACACGTTTTATGGAGGGAATGTCGGACGTTTTCTTGTTCACTCTTTTTCACTGTCGCTAATTTTCACCCTGGTGGCCGTTAGCATCCCGCCGCTACAAAATTTCATGTTGTTCCTCCAACAGAAAATGTCTAGTTTTTATTTTTCTCTATCGCTCTAGCCCCTTTTCTCGTTGAGCTTCGCTGACCAGTCTTCCTACTTTCTACTTTCTACTTTCTACTTTCTCTCTACTTTTTCCGCTTTCCGTTTTCGTCTTTATTGACTCTTTAGTTGTGTCTGCGTCATAAGACGCGGGTGGCCATCCTCTCTCCTGCCACAATAACCTGAAACTTGGCATCTGCTTACATGTAGTGGGTGTACGGACGGTCATTCGTACGCTACGTCATAACCAAATTTTCTCGGATGGATAGTTTACCAAATTTTCGTACCCATGGTGCTCCGCTGGCGCGCTTCGCTCGCGAGAGCTCCGCTATAACTCCTCTTCCTCCGTGTTTCCCAGGGAGCGACTCAGGGAGGTACATCAGCTCTGTTAATTTTAAGAGTTGCTTGGCTCCGCTCTGGGTGATCGCCTTTCTTACTTCTCTGTCTCTGTCTACTGTCTACTTGAGTCCAGACATCAGATATTGCAGGACGGGCAGTGTGAACCTGTTAGATGCCAGCCCTTTATCATAGTCAGACAAAGGGATAGTCCTGATAACCTAACTGACATTCTCTGTAGAAAAACTTTCGCTGCACTTTTTAGCACAAGCTGATCTTCTTGTTTGAAACTTTCCATAACCACTAGGAATTTGTAAAAGGATCCGTGCTAAAAAACTCTGTGTCAATTCAGAGTCACCGATCTTCACTCCCTCTGAATTCTCAGAGAGACATCCTCTCTACATGAACCACTGCACACTTCTTTTC